TGCTTGGGGATGAGGGCAGAGAAGTACAGGAAGGAGGGATTACAAAAGGAAAAAAGAGAAAGCTTTTGGGGTGATAGATATGTTCATTCTCTTGACTGTGGTGATGGTTTCATGGGTATATTCATAGGTCAATTACCAACTGAATATGTACAGCTTATTATTATAGAATATGTCAAGTGTACTTCAGTAAAGCTGTTTAATTTTTAAAATCTGATACAGGAGTATGTATTGAATAGCTTGGCAAATCTACTTTTCAACATCAAATTTTATTAAATCTAAATATAGATCAAGTATTTCAGATGAAAATTTAGTGTCCAATATATATTTTAAGTATGAAATACAAAATAGATTTTGTAAAAAATTATAAAATATTTTAATACATTTTTATATTGGCCATATGTTGAAATAATGTTTTTAGTATACTGGGTTAAATAAAGTATATAACTAAAATTAATAATACTTGTTTCTTTTTACTTAACATGAATTAAATTTTAAAATCTTAAAATTATAGATAGGCTTCACCTTACATTGCTATTAGACAGGGCAGCCCAACAGTGTTAACCATCCTGTGGTTGACAAAATTAGGCACCTGCCAGTCCCAGAAAAGATGTCCATCTCTTAATCCTGAGAAACTGTAAATATGTTACCCTATACAGCAAAAAAAAGACTTGATATGATTACATCATGAATCTTGAGACAAGATTATCTTGGATTATCTGAGTAAGCCCAATATAATTGTAAGGGTCCCCATAACAGGAAAAAAAGAGGCAGAAGAGTCAATGTCAGAGAAGACAACATGACAACAGAAAGAGAGAAAGAGGGACATGGGACAAAAGAGCAGAGGTTGGAATGACCCTGCCATGACCCAAGGAATATGGCAGCCTCTGGAAGCTGGAAAAGACAATAAACTGAAGACTCCAGAAGGAACATGGCTCTGCCAACACCTTGATTTTAGCCCTCCTGAAGCCCACTTTGGACTTCTGACTTCCAGAATTATAAGATAATAAATCTCTTTTAAGCCACTAAATTCGTGGCCATCTGTTACAGCCACATGAGGAAACTAACACAGACTGTGGCACCTGAAAGTGGGATGCTACTGTCACAAATAACTAAAAAAGTGGACGTGGCTCTGGCACTGAATGATGAGCAGAGAGGCTGAAAGAATTTTGAGAGGCATGATCGAAAAAGCCTAGACCACTATGAACAGACTATTAGCAGAAATACGGATGTTGAAGACCCCACAGGTGAGGACTCAGAATGAAGTAAAGGGCATGGTACAGAAACCTATATCATCTTAGGGAATACTTAAATCACAGTGAACAGACCATTAGTAGACACATGGACATTAAAAATACTGCTGGTAGGATTCCTGGTGGCTCAGTCAGTTAACTGTCCAACTCTTGATTTTGGCTCAGCTCACGATCTCACGGATCATGGGATCCAGCCCTATGTCAGGCTCTGTGCTGACAGCAGGAAGCCTCCTTGAGATTCTGTCTCCCTCTCTCTCTGTTCCTCCCCTGCTCATGCATTCACTCTCTCAAAGTAAATAAATAAACTTTGTTTTTTATACTGCTGGTAAGGGCTAAAAAGGAAATGGAAACCAGAAGACAGAGGACCTTGTTACATAGTAGCAGGAAGCTTAGTTGAATTGTGCCCTGTAGTAATGTAGAAAGCAAAACTTAGAAAAGATGAACCTGGACATTTAGAGATTTCCAAGCAAAGTGTAGAATGTGTAGTCTGGCTTCTCCTTGCTGCTTATAATAAAGATGAGAGGAAAAAGAGATGGGGGGATGAGCTGACAAGCAGGAAGAAATTAGGGCCTGATGACTGGGAGAATCCTCAGCCTATTCGGACTACAAAAGATGATAAAATTAGGAGATTCCCTGTCAGGAAATTCTGCTCTGGGGGAAAAGCCACAGGCGTAGCTGAACAGCCTTCTGTTAATGCCTCTGACAATAGAAAGTTCAGAAGATTCAATCACAGGAGGGCTTTCTGAAGAGATCAGGTATGTGACTCATGGCTCCCCTCAGTCATCTTGGCACAGGTCTGGAACAGAGATCTATCTAAGATAGATCTGTCGGGGAGCCTCATGTCTGATGGACAGGAGGCCCCTAAATGTTCCTGAGAACGTTATACCAGCAGAAACACTGCCAACTTGGACTAAAGAAAACTGACAGAGGATGAAACGAGAAGAGGCTGACAGACTTCCAAAATTCTACAGGCAGGAAACAGGCTGATAAAACTACTCAGCCACAAACACACGCTACCCTGGCTGAGAAAGGAAGAATCACTCAAAGGAATGAGTCACAAGCCGAGAAGGCAGAGCCAAGGACCACATGGGACTATTCTCTGGCCCTGAAACTCAACAGAGTTTGCCCCGCTAGATCTCAAAATATCTTGGGACTCCTGGCCCCTCTCTTCTTTCTATTTCCTTCCTTTGGACAGGACTGTCTATGACGGGCACCGTACACCTACCCCACCACTGTATTTGGGAAGCAGATTACCTGTTTCCCACTTTTCAGAGATCCACCTATGGGGAAGGGCTTTGTCCCCAAATGTATGATACTCAGAGTCACAGTCACACCTGATTTAGATTATTTAGATCGTGAGATTTGGAATTTTTCATCTGACCAGACTGGATAAGATTTTGGACTCTGAGCTGATGCCATAATGGGTTATGACTTTGGGAGATACTGGGATGAGGTAAATGTATCTTGCGTGTGGGACAGAAATTAATCTTTGGAGGCTAGAGAGCCTAGACTGTGTGGTAAGCAAAATGATACTCCCCCAAAGATGTCCATGTCCTAACTGCCGGGACCCATAAACATGTTACCTTACATGGCAAAAGGGATTTTAGCATGTGATTTAATTATGAAGTGGAGAGATTACCCTGGATATCCAGGTATGCCCAATACAACCAACCACAAGCGTTCTTAAGGGCAAGTCCTCCTCAGTCAACCTCCCATAATGAAGTTACTCTTCCCCCCAAAAGAAGTGAAAATCCGTCCCCATGGCTGGAGTCTTCTAGAAGTCCCAGAGGTAGTTTGCCAAAGCACAGAGCACACAAATCAACAGATGTCTGGCCTAGGAAGACCACACTTGTGGAATAAATAAATAATTAAATGAATAATGAGTAAAGGAGGCAATTAGCCTTTTACAGAGCATATTGGACAGAGGAATTTTTAATTCAGTTAAAAATGTGTATTTGTCACCTACCACATGTCACGCATGGTACTTGGTTCTAGGGATGTAGGGGTGCCTAAATAGACACGACTTCTGCCTTCATGAAGCATGGTAATTGAGCAGATCTTGTACGATGCAAAAAGAAAAAAAGTAATCTCGTCTTGTATACTCTTAACCATACCCAGCTTAGGGACTTCACCAATTCTTTAGTAAGAGGAAATGGAAATTAACATATCCATAGGCTTGCTATAGATCATTATATAATGTCTGTAAGTTTATTATATGTCATTAGGCTTAAGTTGTCTCCACAGTAAATATGTAAATCTCATCCCTTAATATTGGTCCAGTCATTCGGAAACAATCCTTTTGCCATCTTCACAAAAGGCTGAGTTAAAAGAACCCTGGCAGGAATTTTCATAGAGGAATAGCCAAGCTGCCTGCCTATCATACCTAATCAGGTCACTTCCCTGCAGCAAGCTCCATGAAGCCCCCCACCGCACTGAGAGTAAAGTACGAGACCACTAAGCTGGCGCTCCAAGCAGGGGTAATAATTTCAGTAGCTAACAAGTATACACTGCCTCCCAACCTATCAGAATGGATACGGGTCATAACTCATCAGCGTATCTAAACCCCCGGATATCAGCTAAATATCAGATCTGCCTACAGGGTCCAGTGTAACCCAGCCTCTGCCTGCCTCTCCCGCCAATGACCATCCTTACCACACTACACACCCTGCTATTGGTTTCTGCCTTAAGACCTTCATACATACTATTCTCCTTGCCCAGAATGCTGTGAACTCCCACCCCTTCCTACACCAGGCTTTCTATTCATTTTTCAAGTCTCTGCTGACACATCAATTTTCAGGGTAACCTTTACCCGACCACTGCCATTTCTCCCTGTACTACTCTTTGGCAAGCTATACATCCCCTTCAGTAAGTACAGCGATTGCAATCCAATAATTCCTTGTGTGATGACTGTTCTTCTCATTCTATTTTAGAACAGGGGCTACACCCATCTTATTCACTCCTACTGGTAACTGGTAACCCTATTATTAGCGTGTTACTTGGTCCAGAGCAGGAGTTCCCTACGAACAGCTTGTACTTATTAAGGATCCACTATATGTGTCAGACACTGTTTTAACCACTTCGATGGATTAGCTCCTCTAATCCTTGTAGGAACCCCAGGAGGTAGGTACTAGTATTTCAGATGAGGACATCGGCACAGTTAGGCTAAGTGACTGCCCAAAGTCTCAAAGCCACTAAGTTGGCAGAGTTAACATTGGATCTCAGGCAGTGGGCTTTTAAGAAACATACTATACTCCCTTGATTACTGAGAACCAAGTAAGCTCCACCCCTAGGAGAATGCAGCCATAAAACATCCTCGGTGCTCATGTGCCCATTAAATGAGAGAGAGAGAGATGAATAAGGATAGGTGTAGGTATAGAATAGGTACAGGTAAAGATATAGAAAGCAAATAAAGAAATATCATGTAAAAAAAAACAATATTCCTGGCCAATGGCTTTCAAGGGCTTTGCAACTTCAATCAACTTTAGATCTCCCTCCCCCCGCAAAATACCCAAGGAAATATTTTACCACCAAACCAAATATTTCACAATCATGCCTCTAGTGCCCACCCTCAGAACACCCCTCGACTATCTGAACACCTATGGCATTTCCGAACATTCCTTATGACAATAACACAAGAGAAATAGCAGAGATGATCTTCCGACAAACACACACCACATGAACGCTCTCCAGACAGATCTTCCTCCCCAAGCTCTGCCCCCTGCCCCCGTGCAAAGGAGGAGGTGCCTTTACCTTGAAATAAATACGCTTTGCTGGCATTGTGCAATCCAGACACCTGAGTGACTCCAATGGTGGTGTTCACGAGGTCAAGCTCCGTGATAATATCCATCTGCAGGTCAGGGTCCGTCCCGAAGCCCACGACTGAAAAAAAAACAAAGAACTGTCTTCGCTTCAAATATAGACTGCTGGCGGCAATACATAACAGGAATTACGGAGGCCAGAGCGGCACGGTATACAAGGAAGCCAGTGATGAGTGCGTGGAGATGCTACCTTCCAGAGTGGAAAAGGAGGGCAACTCTTTGCTCCAAGGGCCTAGTGATATTGTACATTTTTTGTCCCCTCCCCCACCCTCACTCCCCATTCATTACAGATTGATGATCCCTTATCCAAAATCCTCAGGGCCAAATAGGTTTCAGATTCAGAATGTATTATCAGATGCTAGAAAGTTACTATATGGCCTATATCCTACATTTTATTTCACACCCTAAGCAAACACTGAATCAGTACCCCATAATCAAATACAGTATTTCTGGAGGAAAAAGTATGATGTTTTCCTCTAGTTGGCTAAACAAAGACTATACGTAGCCTCATATCACTTGAGGTCAAGTTTCACCACCAGATGAGTTTGGCTCTGGGGTAGCTTTTGCTGTGACATGAGTTTTGAGGGAACATTGGGCTTCCAAGCTTTTCAAGATCTGGGGACTGAGGATGCAGGATAGTAGCCCTGATCTACCTGCTTCAGAAACTGACGCAGAAGCAAAACCTGACACCACCGTCACTAGAAAACACCTCCGCAGAGAGCTCCCTATTCATCAGGCCCAACCATCTGTGATACAGAAAAGGCAAAGCAGAGGGATCCTGCCCTTGTGGGAGAAGGGGGTTGGAGGGAGTGACCAAAAAAGAGAAACACCAGAGAATTCCCTCAGGGGGACTCCTGAAAGTTAAATACCCAGATAACAATGTTGGAGAACCTTAGCACGGTGAAATACGGCTGGTGAAATACAGCCGTGAGCCTTACCTAAGAAAGACAAATGCCTAAGGCTTTCTCTCACCCAGGGAGTATTCTGTGCAATGACACACTTGTGATTGCAAAGTGACTTCCAATTACATTTTTCATCAGGCTAGAGATCACTGTAAGGGACTGTGTTTCAGCCATTCATAAATTCACCGTGTCTCTACACTTAGCATCTCAGTAGTGCCATCCTGATCGCACAGTCAGAAATGTTTTAATCAGCAACAGCTGTCAACTTTTGTCTCCTGGTAATGCAGTTGCTGAGGCAAGATCTGGAAAGCTCACACCCGATTTGTCCCACAGAGACTGAGTGAATGCTCATCAGGACATCGTCAGCTATTACAACCTCATCAGCCCTCCCACCTTCACCCCTTCCTCCACAGACTGGGGGAAGGAAATCTACCCTCTCCATACTCTTTTCCTATGAGGAAAAACAGGAGCTGCTGCGCAACAGAGGTTGGTCTAGCTGCAGCCTGTCATTGCCAAGGCAGACGAAGGGTTAAACTGGAGGTACAGAACATAACCTGCCTTCTCCGTTTCTGTCAGGTTTCTCCTTGTCCTCGAAGCTAAAGGTTCAAGCTTCCCCCTTCCGAATGCGGCCACTTATGAGACCAGTTTACCAAAAACAACTCTTCCTTCTACTCACTCTGCATTTACGCATTCATTCAGTACCTTTTCAACAGGTATTACTGAGTTTTCCTATGTAATATGCATTGCTGGGCACTGGAGATGTCCTCATAAAGTATGCATTCCTGGGGTAAGGAGTAAACAGAGGACCAAATAATAATAATAATAGATAAGATCATTTGAGATGGCAATAAATGCTACCCAGATAATAAAACAGAGTGATGGAATACAGAGCAACTCGGGTGGGGCTTTAGAAAGAACGGTCAGGGAAGGTTCCTTTGAGCAGATATGTGAATGCCTGCAGGGGCCCACGACGGCAAGATCTGGGGAGAAAGCTTTCCAGGTGTGGAGAACAGCACACTGCAAACCAGGAACAGACCTGGCACGTTCAGGAAACAGAGAAAAGTTAGTACAGGTAGAGAAGAGCGGGCAGGGGGAACGTGGTAGAAAATGAGGCCAAAGAGTAGACCCTTCCTTTTGAGCCTGACAAAGAGATGGACTTTATTCTAACTGCAATAGGAAATCACTGGAGGGCTTGGGTTGTGTTGGGGGGGGGGGGGGGAGCAGCAAGACCACACAATGATCTCACTTAGGTCCCCATCCTACCTGCTCATCCCTCACACAGACTCAGTTTGCAAAAACTGATCCCAGAACACCTGCTCTGTGCAAAGAAGNAGGCCAAAGAGTAGACCCTTCCTTTTGAGCCTGACAAAGAGATGGACTTTATTCTAACTGCAATAGGAAATCACTGGAGGGCTTGGGTTGGGGGGGGGGGGGGGGGGGGAATGCTCCTACTTCACATCATGATCTCACTTAGGTCCCCATCCTACCTGCTCATCCCTCACACAGACTCAGTTTGCAAAAACTGATCCCAGAACACCTGCTCTGTGCAAAGAAGCACTGAGCTGACGGGCGTCTGTTGGCCCAAGTCATAGCACCCTGAGCCTCTAGTTAAGACTGGTGATGTTTTTCTCAACGTGAGCTCAGACATCAGCAGTTCTGTGATCACCTTGAAAGGGCAGGAAAAGAACTAATATTTCAGTTTGATCTATAGTGTTGTACACCTATTTGGCAGAAATTAAATCAAGAGTGATCTCAGAGGACCTCCAAGCTGGTCTTTCTCTGGCTAGGAATTTGGAAAGTGATCTGGAGAATGTGTCCTTAGCCGTACAAGAAGCAGGAAATGTCCCTGTAGCTCCAGTGCCTCACCCAGGGCCTGTCATCTGGTACGCTCTGAATTTAGAACCTAATTAATTAAATGATGAGCAGATGCTGTGTCACTGTTTTAGGTGACAATGACCTCAGAGCAATATGCGTTTCTGGGGATACCACGAGAGGACAGGACAGTATTCGGGCCAAGGAAACAATCTTTAAAAACTGTGGGTGACCGAATTATTGGGAGTCAAATGTTTACCCCTTCCAGATCCAGGCCCTGTGCTGTGTTGCTTTGCAGTTCCTTCCACTAGAGTAAAAGTAAACTCCGCATCCTTTGACTTTGAGCCTGGCCATGCAACCCATGTGGGTCATGGGGATGCTTGGGATGTCAGCAACGTTACACAAGCAGGGGCCTGAATGTGCTTGTGTGGTCGGGCTCGTTCTCTTGTGTCTCTATGCCATGATGAAAAGAACATGGCTCTACTGGTCCGCTGCTCCAAAGAAACGGAGACACACAGAGACACCCCACTTGAGTGTAGCACCATGAACAGCCAAGTCTGACCTAAATGAGCCAAGACCAGGACAGCCCACAGACTCATGAACCAGAATAAATGGTTTAAGCCACTGAATTCTGGATAGTTTGTTACGCAATGTTATTGTGGCAGTAGTTGACCTAAGCAGGGACTAAAGACCCACTATAACTGTCATTCTTAAAATGCTCCCACACTAGGAGCCCTGCAACTAGACAAGCTTAAAAGGTACCCAAACAGATTCTATAGATCTGGCAGCACACCCCATCGGTGCCCTTGGCTCCTCGTTCCCAAATGAGAATACAGCACACTCAGACTAGATACAGTGTTGCAGAAACAACACTGAACCCAGAGCCCATTTCAGTCCTGTCTCTTCCCCCTTCTAGTGATTGGAAAAAATCACTTCACTTCTCCGAGACTCAGTTCCCTCATCTATAAAATGGGGATGATCATACGTGCCTCCTAGCCTCATAATGTTCCCCCATAGTTTATGTGGGAACCTCCCAGCCCCAGAAGGTTCCATCATAAGGTTCCTGTTCCCACATAAACTACGGGATCACTCCTAGGACACACCTGGTGCCCAGCTGGGCTTTGCGGCTACTGTCTCTCATTAGACAGCTCCCTGGTCTTCACCTCTGCCAGAACTGCACAAAATCTACAGGTGGCCCCCTTCCCCTCAATCCCTGCACATACCCAACTGACCCAGAAGGACATCTCACTCTGGCTGTGCTCTGGGAAATCTAAATATTAAGTCTACACTCCTTCTTCCTCCTTGAGCCCACAAGTGAAGGGATTCCCTGGCTTTAAGCTAACTGTATTGCAGTTGTTATGAGAATATCCCATAAAAACAGAGCAAGAGAACTCAATTAGCTTCCAGATACAGGTTTCTTCTCTCCCTTTAATTGGTCTCCTTCAGGATGAAAACGCCTTGTGCTGATAGCAGGATATGTAAACACTTTACACATTGCCAAGGGAATCAGAAAACCTATTAATAAGGTAGCACTTACATGGCCTCTCCTGGACCTTCTGTAGTAGAAGAGTGTTAGTTCCATAAAAATAACTTTTTTAATGTTTCTGCTTCTTGTCCATGCATGGAGCTCCTGCCCTTTCCAAGGAATCTCTATTAAAGTTTTCTACTTTGGCCATAACTGTTCTACAAATGGTTGAAGCTGGGAATTGGAATGAAGCAAGATAAAAAGCTTCTAAGGAAGAAACATTTTTTTTTTAAACCTGGAAGGCAATGTGTCACTATCACAGATGCACTTGAGGCCTGTCTTTAGGATTCAGAGCCTCCACCCTAATCTCCCAGGACACCTGCTATGGCTGGCCACCCCAGAGCCTTGCCCAGGGAGTACTCAGGCCCCAAAACCACTCAGCACATGATCAGCGTCCTGGGCCTAAGTTCCCCAGCAAATCCTCCAGGGCCTGGCTCACTCCAAATCTAATCCAGCTCACTGTCCATGATGACAGCTGTTTTCTTCTCGTCAACACAGAGGAACAGACGCTGTGTTGAGATGCTCCAAGACCTCATTTAACTGCAGGATTTCAAAACCAGTTGATCGGATTTGGACCCCTGGACTCCTACAAAGATGTTTAATACCCCTAAAGCAATATCCTTGAAGAATATGCTCTAGGCTTGTTCCAAGTCAGGCCAATACTGCACATAATTACTGAAGGTTGGGGGCTCTGTTCACAGCTTTATGATTTCATAAAATCATAGGCTATTAATGAATAGCCTGGGAGGTGCTTCAAAGAGAAAAGCTCTCCTTACCAGCAGGTGGCAGCAAAAGGCAGCAAAAGGGGCCCTGGGGGCTCCCTGCCCATCCCCCCCGACCCCCCCCCCCCCCCCCCCCCCCCCCGCCCGCAACCAGGGCCCTAAAGAAACTGGAAAGGGAATTTTGTATTATTCACACCTCCAAGCCACTGGAGGAAAAGCCATGCACATAATATTTTATCACTCTCATTATTGTAGCCTTCTAAATTTTCATTATTAGTGATGGACCTGCAAATCCAGAATTATTTTTCACCTAGAAATAACAAGAACTGGAAAACAGCACCTCCTATCATGACTCCATTTAACTCTCTAAAACAAGTTCCCTGAACAATGAGCAATTTAAGCAGCTTCCTGTGACACCTACCAGTAGATCTTTTCATATGTAACTGCTACTGCAAGGCGGTGCTGCTTTAATTAAAATGTGCCTGATATCATCTATTCATTTCCATTAAAAGGTGTTGATATCTGAGAAGCTCACTAAGTGCACCACATGTTTATTTCAACTTGGACTGTTAACAGCCCAGACAACAATTGTCCCACTTGACAAATAAACTTTCCGAGCGGCTGTTCTGATCCTGATAAACTAATCACCAGCCAGCCTCTGCTACCAAAGAGGAGGGATATTTGATGCAGGGACGCAGGTTTCTGGGTAAATCAAAGAGCCTGCCCCCAGAAAACTGCTGATCATGCTCCTTCAGGACACAAGAAATTGTAAGTGAAAGACTTGAGATACAATTCCACCCCCGCCCCGAACATCCTGATTCTTCTGAGAATTTTTGCAGACCTATGTGGCCTCTGGTGTTTAAGAAGGGCCAGTGGCACAGAAAACCCAACCTCCTTAAGCAACTGTCACAACCAATAGGGCAGACCCTACCATGTGTCCCCGCCTGTGTACAGGCTGTGCCCTCTGCCTGGTATGCCTTCCCCAGTCTGCCCACCTATAAAGCCTTCCAGACACAACTCTCAAATGTCACCTCCTGATTAAAGCCTTCGAGGACCACCAACCACCCCTCCTCAAAATCCATCCCTATCGTTCCTCCTCTGTATTTCTTTGATTGAAACTTCTGACACTTCCTCTTCTTCCAACCCCCATCAATCTGTAGAATAAAAATGCTTTCCAGTTTCTACCTAGATTCTCAGCTAAGCTTGAAGTTCCTGGGAGTCCAGGACCAAGTTGCTTCCTCTTTTTGCATAAGCAAGCAATCCTGGCACCCAGCAAGGCGCTCCACTGTTTTGAATGGATGAATGAATGAATGAATGAATGAATCTTCCCACAACAGAATTATTACAAGATTTAAAAGAGATTGGTGTGTGGGGAAGGCGAAAAGACTGTTTTCTTAAAGGGATCCACTAACAATGCACCCTGGACACAGAGTCCATGCCGGGATGGAGGCACTTTCTGCGGACTTTTCAAAGGCCTAATGAGAACAAAGGATTTAGGCATACAAGTAATGATGTGCACTTGAGGATGTGAAATGACCAATAAGCTGCCCCCTCTCCCATCTAGTCCCTCTCTCTCTGTCTCTCTCGCTCTCTGTCTCTGTCTCTCTCTGTCTCTCTCTGTTGCTCTCTGTCTCTGTCTCTCTCTGTCTCTCTGTCTCTCCTCTCTCTCTGTCTCTCTCTCTCTGTCTCTCTGTCTGTCTGTCTCTCTCTCTCTCTCTCCCTCTCTCTCCATTCCTCCATAAAATGCCAGCACCAGATTCGCCCCGCACAGGACTGGTAGCCCATGTTCTGCCCTAGCCTCGCCCGTCCTGATCTTCCGGGAGCGTATTTCTTCCAATGTGCTCTTGGTTTTAAAAGACTAGCCCATCCCGATGTACCCAAGAAGCAACTATTCTAGGCTAGACTGAGCCTTGGCGTCTCTGCAGCCTTGGGAAGCTCAGATGAAGATACGAAAGGGAGGGGGATTCCTTTTGTCCCTGGAGAGTCCACACCACTCCCTCTTCCATGAAGCAAAGGGAAAGCTGCTTACCCCGCTGGGGAAACGGAAAAGGTCAGCAGGAAGCCCAACTTCGTATCCTCAGGCAGGCTCACTGCCCAAGAGGGGCGCCCGGGGCGCAAGCCGAGGGAACTTGTGGACCAACCGAAGCGGAGCTCCCCTGCCCAGCCCTTTCCCGGTAAACTTGCTGCCTAGCGGGAGAAGGGGGCTGTGGCTCTAGGAAAGGTAAGTGCGAGTGGTAAAGGAAGAAAAGAGTAATGACTGCACGCCGGTTCTGGGTGCAAAGTCGACAGCGCGTACTCATGCGGGTTAGCACAGGAATAAAAATTCGCCACGCTCCCGCCCCCATCCCCCGCATCGGAGAGCCGCGTTTTGGCCCATAAAGCGCCTACTCCACCCCACCCACCCCCCACCTTCCCTCCTCTACTATTAGACCCGTGGAGAAGACGACTGAGAAGGGGTCTCCAAACCCCAGGAGATATAAGGGCTGGGGGCGAGTGGGAGCGGATGGAAGGAGGTGCGCCGTAGAGTCCTCACAACTGCGTCTCTGGAGGGAGAGCCAAGTGGGGACTTCAGAAATCACGCCAGCTCTCCTGGTCCGCCCTCCACAATCCCCAACCGCAATTACAGCAAGGAAAAACTGGTTTGGAGCTTGAGAAAATCTCCCTGGATTGTCTCCACGGTTTCCAGTTCCCCCGGATTAATATTATTCGTCCAGTCCTCGGGGATAGGGTGTAGGGGGAGAGCACGCTCCCGGAGTCCCCTGGGGAGAGTCCGGAGCCGACCCGCGAGCCCGCGCACTCCCGGCGCTCGCCCGCAGCCCTCCACCCCGCGCCCGGGCCGCGGCCGCGCCCGCCCGCGGGCCGGAAGCGCTCTCTCTGCGGGTGCGACTCTCACCGCCGGCCCTTCCCGACCCAGCCCGGCACAGGGAGGGCGGTTTCCACCGCACCTGTCGAGTTCGGGGGCTGTGGGGTTTGCGGGCTGAACCTGCTGTGGGTTTCGACCCGGAAGCTGGTTACTAGCAGCCGGAGGGTGCGCCGGCCCGGCCGCGCCCCTCACAACAGCGTCCTCGAGGCCGCGTCTCCAAGAAAGGGGGCACCCACGGGGGCATCTTCCAGCCCGTGAGTCTCACTTCTCACCGTGTTATCTGGTGCAGGGCAGAGAGATCCGAGGGACCCATCCACGCTTCGCCCCCCTCCCCGGACCAGCGCGGAGCTCGTCTCCAGGTCTCCCGACGCCTGTGCCGGCTCTGGGCACCGAGGCGCGGCTCCCCCCCCACCTTCCCCGGGATGCCTCCGACCGCCCAGCCGTGCTTACCTGTCCTGGCGGTGCACACACACAACCACACAACTAAAATCACATCCCTCGGCATCGCTCCCGAGGGTCCCCGCCAAACGGGGCGCGCGGAAACCAGAAGGAAACCACTGCGCCTCGATCCCGATGCGCGCCGGGCACGAAGCCGCCAAACTTGCTAGCGGGCGGCGGGGGAGGTGGCTCGGCAGCGCCGGGTGCTGCGCTCGGGGATCGCGCCCGGGAAGGCGGCCCCGGCCGCCCCGCCCCCGGCCCGCCCCCCACCGCGGGCGGCGGCAGCGCCCGGCTCGCGCCCGGGCCCCCGCTGCGGCTGCGCCCGCCTCCGAGCTGGGGCGGGCGCGCGGGGCTCGGCCACTCCGGCAGGTTGCGCTCGGCGACGGGATCGGGTTCTCCGGCTTCGCCCGCGGAGCTGCGAGGACCCGGGCGGCCGGCGCGGAAGCCGCTACCAGCGGGAGCACCGGAACTGGAGTCCCGGGACGCGCGGCAATAAGGGAGACGCTGAGGACGCAGGGCGCCCCCGCGGCTCCACGCGCTCCAGCCACTGCGCCGCCGCGGTGGGGGCTGCCGAAGTTGCCGAGGTGCGTCCTGGCCGAGACGAAGAAGAGCCGAGCCCGCGAGGGTGGATTTTTTTTTTTTTTCCCGGGCGGGAATCCTGACCCGGGCGGCGCCACGGAGCGCGCCCAGCCCCTCCCTGGGAGACAATTACTCGGGATTTTCTCTGGCAACTGGGTTGGGAGGGGCGAGTGGACTTAAGGGGATGGCGGCGGAGTCGGCGCTCACCACCTGTACCTTGTCCCCTCTCTCTGGCGGGCCCCTGTCACTGGGTACACGCTTTAGGGGTGCGGGGGGAGGGCGCTGAGGCAGGGGGTACAGAAGAAGCGTCCCCCGAGCTGGAGGGAGCTACAGTGGGGGCTTGGGGAGTCTGTTTGCAAACCTTCCGGTTCTGCAGCGCAAATGCTGCCACATAGGGGAAATTCCTAACCATTTTTTTTTCTTGGTGACTTTCTTGATGTTCTGTCAAAAGCCCTACTCTCCTTTCATAGTTACATTTTGGCCTGTCCTGCGGGCCCTCCCTCCACCCCAAAGCTATTCCCCGGGGAGCAAAATTAGTCTCTGCTGTGGGCAAGAGTCCTCCTCCCACTATGGGACCGCGGGCCTTCCCTATAAAGATGTCCCACCCAGATTTTGTCGCACTTCTCTCCCGGAATGTTATTTTTAACTAGGATGCAGAGTCGTGAAATCAGAGATGACAGAACCTCTCTCATGTAGACCAGATGAGCCCCACAGGATTTATAGCTCCTCTGCTCACTCACACTGGGCTCCTGTAAACCCAGCCCACCTCTTTAACACTTGCAGTCTCAGGGGAGGAAAGAGAAACTTCTTTGAACAGTCCTGCCTCCTTCCCTGGAAACCAGTTACAACGTTTCAGAATTCTCTTCACTAATAAGGATCTGTCTGCCCTTCTCACTTCTTGCACCGGCTCTCACTTTCCATATTTCTAACCCCTACATAACTATGACCCCAGGAGACCTCCACTGAAGGTCACCAAATTGGCAGCACTGCTTAAGAGAGAAGCTTCTATCTGCATGCTCTTATGATCTCTGCCCTCTTTTTCTGGATATTTCTGTACAAGCCACTTGGTCCTTTACATTGCGGTCCCTTGGCAGATGAAAAAGAAAGTCAAGGAGAAGATAAATTCAAACTCCTGATGGCTGGCGAGGAAGAAGGAAGGTCAACAAAGAAGTGTATTGTGCACTCTAGTAGTGGAGTTCAAGGTTAAGAGGTAAACTGATGCCAAAGTTAAGCTGATTCTCTTATGGTTTGCCTCCCTCCCTCTCTGTAACCTTTTTTTCCCCTTCCCTTCCCCCATGGTCTTCTGCTAAGTTTCTCAAGATCCACATATGAGTGAAAACATGATATCTGTCTTTGACTGACTTATTTCACTTAGCATAATACCCTCCAGTTCCATGAAATGACAAGATTTCATTCCTTCTCATTGCCAAGTAGTATTCCATTGTATATATAAACCACATCTTTATGCATTCATCAGTTGATGGGCATTTAGGCTCTTCCCTTAATTTGGCTATTGTTGAAAGTGCTGCTAACAAACTGAGGCTTGATGGGGGTTAGGGGAGAGGGAAAAGTGGGTAATGGGCATTGAGGAGGGCACTGGCTGGGATGAGCACTGGGTATTGCATAGAAGCCAATTGGACAATGAATTATATTTTTAAAAATAAAAATTTAAAAACAAATTTTAAAAAAGTTAAACTGATTCTCCAACTCTTCTGGGATTCAACTCAAGCTCACAGGGGACCTATCTGCCTTAACCTGGCATTTTCATTACAGAGTCAGGACTTTTTCCTTTGACCCAGAGCATGTTACATTTAATGCTAGCATTAAAATCACACATCTTGCAGAAAACAGGATTCCTCAAGTTCAGTTGGGCTTTGTGAATGAGAATACCCACAAACCATGTTGTGTTGTGAGAGCCAGGCCCTGTCTCCTCTGGATTATTGAAGTACCTCTCAACAAGAACGGCCTTTGATAGGTGTGAACTGTTGTTTCAAAGGCTCTTTTGCTGATCTCAGAAATCCCAGGATCCCTGGAAGTTGCAGTGACCCCAGCACAAGGGAAAAGGTGGTCTGGGTAAGACCTTTAGAGCTCTCTATCTTGAAGTCTCTGTAATTAGTTGGTCCTGTGGGATGGAGCTTTTAGCGTGTTCCATTAAAAAATAAAGCAAGACATATGTTCTGTCAAAGCTGTGCCACATCACATCCATTAACGGTAACAAGAGTTCATCTCAACAAGGTCATAAATCTTCCTTGATAACTAAGTATTTCAATCTCCTCTTATAAGTGCATTTCTCGAGTGGGGATTCTGAGTGTATAGACCTGTTTGGCTAAGGTAACATTCACAGAGTACACCCAGCAGATTTCTATAGTGGCAACGGAGGGACCACATGGCTGTATATGTTCTTGTTGTTGGGATACTGCAGTGGGACCCATGCTCAATACTACCAATACATGGATGATTCTCAAATGTGTATCCCCAGCCCCAGTCTCTCCTTGGAACCCCAGGCTTATCCACCCAACTACCATAAGGTGTCTTCAGTGTAATATGAACACATCATCAAAATAAAAAAATATTTGTGCTTCAGAGGACACCATAGGAAGTGAAAAGACAACCCCCAGAAACAGGGGGCAAAGTTGCAAGTTATATATCTGATTGAGACTTGGAACTACTAAGAAACTATTACAAATAGACAAGTAACCCAATTTGTAGATTAGGCAAAGGATCTGAGAAGACATTCCTCCAAAGAAGATATACAAAAAGTCAATAAACACATGAGAAGATGCTCAACATCATTGGCCATCTGGGAAATGCAGATCAAAACTACAATGAGCCATCACTTCACAGCCACTAGGAGAGCTGAAATCAAAGAGACGGATAATAAATGTTTACAAAGAAGTGGAGAAGTTAGAACCCTCATATACTGCTGGTGGGAATGTAAAATGGCTCTTCAAATAAACATAAAGTTGCCATATGATCCAGCAATTATACTCCTACGTACATACACAAGAGAAATGAAAACACGTGTCCACGCACTGTTATACACATATGTTCTTAGCAGCATTATTCATAATAGCCAAAAGGTGGAAACTGCCCAGTGTTCATCAACTGGTGAATGGAGCCATAAAATATGGTATATCTGTACCGTGGAATATTATTCAGCACTAAAGAGAAATGAAGTACTGATGTTCACTATAACACAGATGAATCTTGAAAACATACTAAGTGGAAGAAGCCAGTAACAAAGGGCCACACATCTTATTCCATTTTTGTGAAATGGCCAGAGTCAGTGCATCCCCAGGGGCAGAAAGCGCAATGGTTGCCTAGGACTGAGGGGAAGAGGAAGGAAGGATTTGCAGGAGACACCTGAAGAACACAAGGTTTATTTTGGGGGTAATGAAAATGTTCTAGGGGCGCCTGGGTGGCTTAGTCGGTTAAGCGTCCGACTTTCGCTTAGGTCATGATCTCGCGGTTCGTGGGTTCGAGCCCCGCGTCGGGCTCTGTGCTGACTGCCAGCTCAGAGCCTGGAGCCTATTTCAGAGTCTGTGTCTCCTTCTCTCTCTGACCCTCCCCTGCTCACGCTGTCTCTCTCTCTCTCTCCTAGAAATAAATAAAACATTTTAAAAAAATTTTTTTTAAAAATTAAAAAAAAGAAAATGTTCTAAAGTTGACCGTGGGGGTGGATGAAAAACTCAGATATTCATAATACACTAAAAGCCACTGAACTGTACACTCTAAATAGGTTTATGCTACAATATGTAAATTATATCTCAATAAAGCTACTTTTAAAAAAACTTCTTTAATGGCCATGGGGGGAAAATTACAATATGGCCGAAGAAGGACTTTTGGTTTTCCCTCCTCCCAGACTTGCTTCCTGCTACCTTCTGAGCAGACAGCACCAGCCTTCACCGATGCTCCCACCAAACAACCCGGGGTCATCTTTTGTCTTGCTTTCCCTATACTCCCACTCTCAAGCCCTTGTCAGTATCCTTTAAAGAAAAACCCCAAATCAGCCACTTCTCACTGCCCCTCCCCACTTTCACCTTGCTCCAGGACATCATTGTCTCTTTCCTGGCCTGCTGCTATCAGTTTCCCGTTATTCTCCCTGCCTTCTCTCTTGCCTCTACAATTCCGCTCAAACTCCCTGCCCCCATCAGTTACGACCTGCTTTTTTTAAAATATCTATTTATTTGATGGAGGGGCAGAGAGAGGGGGACAGAGGATCCTAGGTGGGCTCTGCTCTGACAGGCTGATAACAGTGAGCCTCATGTGGGGCTCGAAGTCGCAAACCACGAGATCATGCCCTGAGCCCATGTCGGACATTCAATTGCCCTATCCGTCCAGGTCTCCCCATTGTCTGCCTTTTAAACCATATGTCAGATCACATTCCCTTGCAAAAAGTCCCACTGCACTTTTCCATGATATTTTGAAAACACTCAAACATCTTACCAGGCCTCTGCCCACCCTCCCAGCACTCTCTCTCTCCCCCTT